GTAAGGCCAGCTAAACATTCAATTAATTAAAATAATATAAAAATGAATTTTTGTTGTTGTAGTTCACTACTTTTCAAAAACTTCTTTTTTAATTTTTTTTTTTAAAACGAGTCAGAGTTTAATGAAGAGATTGTCTTAATCGTTCGTCATTTTTATAACGTAACATATAACCCAGTGTAAATTACAAAAAAATTAATAAACGTTTATAAGAACTATGCTATTATTAATTATTTAATAATTAATTAATAATATTTTTAATCTGTTTTTTAGTATTTAAAAAAAAATATTTTATTAAAACATAAAATAAGTGAAAGGTGTCAAAGTGCATTTACGTAGTTTATTGTCGCTGTTATTGCTAAATAATGAAATTTATTCGTTACCAAGGCGTGGCATATAAACACTTTATTAAGGCAATTGTTACATTGTAAATCCTGTCGATACCAAGTCTCAGCACATAACTATTTTCCTCGCTTAATCGATATCGTGAGTAAAAACAATTTCCATACAAATTTCTTTTGAGTACTAGAGTAGTATCCATAAAAATTAAAAAAAAAAAAAATTATCACACATAATATCCGTTTCAACGTGTTATTTGTTAAATCTGCAGTTTACTGTGCATAGGTAAAAAGTTCATAATCAAAACATATTTATTTGTATAACAACTTCATTATGACAAATTTATTTTAAATGTGAAAGAATTGCAAGAAATTCATTGACACAGCAGGTGCAATTAAATTGTTAATGGCGGTGCATTAACATTCCATATAGTAAATGTAAAAGTATAAATAAATTTGTTTTTAAGTAATGTGTGTGGAGTAGGTGGTGTAATATGATAACTACACAAACACCCAAGATACGAGCATACAACTTCATAATTATGTATATTTTATGAAAATTTGAAAATAATTTCGTTGGTAGAGACAGCAATGTCAGGGTCATGTGGGCTGCAAACAAAATTGTTAATTTTGTATAAAACATTAATTTTATCTGCATGCAATGAGGCGCCGACCATGAATCATCATCATTTCTGGTTTATTATACAAAGCACACGACTATTTGCTACTTAAGTTAACTGAAGTGTAAATTTAATTAACAATGTGCTTGAATTAGAATTAAATTAATTTAATAGTGAAATTATTATTTCTTTTGCTTAATCATTGATTGAATAATGCAGATATCTTCTTGTAACAACATTTCTAGCAACATTTCTATTGCATTTTTTTTGATCGTCTGTATTTTTATTAATATTATATTATGTATAAGACTTTGTTGGAAATCGGAATTAACAATAAGGTTTTCAAATACTTTACTAATCTTAATTAATTAATTATAATACTATTAATTTGCTCGATCTAGCCGCTGTTTTTTGTTCGCAAGTCGCACTTACAATTTGAAATTTATACATACTCGTACTCGTAGATTTTTTATATAAAGCTAAAAATAATTTTTTTTTTTTAAATTTAAAGTAATTAACAAATGATCATTGATAAAATATCAATTAGCTTAATTTTTCAATTTATAAATTTAGTTTTTTTTCTTATGTCGATATAAGTGTATAGATAGCGGTGTCTAAAGTTTAAAGCATTTATAAAATTTTATATACAATTAAAGTTGATTTGGATTGTATTAAATTAGTATTGTAACTTAAAATTTTACGTACACAATTTTAAGCCACATCATAGAGCAATAATAATAATAAAACAATAACAAAAGTAATAAAACAATTATTGAAAACCACCACCAAATTTAATATAATAAATAACAACAGAACAGTAATAAAGTTGGTAAACAAAACGAAATCAATATTTCGTTAGTGACCATTTCCAAGGTGGTAATAATACCCATTTCCGATCACCTAATAAATATATCAGTGCCCTTACAAGGCGTGGCAGAAATTTATATTTCCACCACAAACCCATTTGCTCCACAACAAAGAAATACACATTTCTGTAGCAAAGCCTCTGTCTGCGTCGTATGTTAGGTCTTCCAGATATCATCGCAAACTTACCACTGTTCCTACCAAATGAATTTTATTGTAGGACTGAATCTGGAATCCGACGAGCGAAACCTCGGCGAAAAAGTTTCGTTACAGTATTTAAAAAGAAAAATATGTAATATAATACATAAATAAATTAAAAATCACACATAAACTAAAATTCCGGGATATGCTGGCATCCAAGGCAATGAAATGGCAGACAAACTTGCAAGAAGAGGCGCGGCCTCAAGAATGAGAGGTCTAGACACATTCTGTGGTCTAGGTAAAAGAACTCTATCCATTCTTATGAACGGCGCAGAGAAAAAGAAAGAGTACTTTATTGGGAAAGACTACCAAGATTTTTACAATCCAAAATGCGTTAAGGGACTTACAACCTAAAATGCTTCAAAAATTGCATAGCACAATCAAAAAATAATCTAAGAATTATTAACGGATTATTGACCGGTCACTGTAGATTGATTAATCACCTATCGAAGTTAGTAAATCAATCCAACTCACACTGGATATGCTGTAGAGAAAAGAGAGAAACTGCATAACATGTGCTAGGGGAGTGTTCGGGACTGATGCACGGACTTGGAGAAAGACTTTAAAATTCTATAGGTGTCTAGAGTTCTTGAAACAAAAAATAACTCACTTTTCAAATAATTTGTAATCTCAGAGTTATTAATGATTTCAAAAACACACATGAACTAAAATTCTATAGGTATATAGTGTTTTGAAACTAAAAATATGAATTTCATATTTTAACCCAAATACTTACATCAGAAAATATGTTCAATTTCACAGAAAGTTTTTAACTGCAAGCATTTTTGCACCATTTTATATTATAAATTATTTATTTGCCGACAAATTTCTGCCATTCCTTTTCATGCCATGCCAGGTGCCATTTTTACACTATAAAATCGTGATTTTTCAATTGGCAGTTTGGTTGCAGTTAAAATGTATTTACGCGAACTTTTGCCACTGTCCACGATTTTTTGCATTTGTTGATTTTACTTGTTTTTATTATGTTTTAATGATCATTACTTTTATTGCAGATACATTTATTGCTTTTTTGTTTGATGTATATTTAATAAAATTAATAATATGCTGTTATTGGTAAAGATAGGATTTATAGGTATCGTAGGTGGTTTTTAAAATAATTATTTTTTTTACTTTAATATCCTAAAGGGTCGATGAGTTTAAAATGTTAAAAATAATTTTTGTTATACGAGCTTTCAAAGTTTATAAGAATATTCACATTTATCACAGATATAAGTTTAATACATATTAAATTGTTTTTTATGTCTGATTTGGATCAACATGAACATGATAAACACCTAGTTTTAATTAATTCGTTACCAAACTCATGCTTCTGGCTTACAGATTTAATTCCAAAATATTAAGATGGTTTTAATTTTCACAATGGAAAAGCTTAAATATAAGTTATAATTTCAAGCTATAAAATTGTTCATAAAGTTACGATAGTTACACCCCCTAGCTTTTGGGTTACATTTTTATATCAATAAATAAGAAATTGTGATTATCTAACTGATTATATTTGCACAAAAACTGAACAACTTTAAAATAAAAAGAAATTTAAAAAATTATTGAAACCTTCCTATTAAGATTTTAAAAGTAGGGGGATTAAATAATAGATTGTTGCAAATGCATGCATATAGTGTAAGAGAAGACAGTTTAATTGGGAAATAAATAAAAAACAAATTAAAAAAATTAAGATTTAATTACTATTTAAGCGAAAGGGAAATGAAAGTTTTCTTAAATAAAAAAACATATGTGTAGTATTTCTGTTTGATTTATCACATTTTAGTAAAATTCCTTCAAGGCGTATATAAAAATAGTACAGTACTAAAGGGAAAGTATATGCCTTTGAAAGACGCTGTTGTGTTAAAAATTGTTTACCAGAGAGAATTTTATACTTAAATTAATTTTTCGATTTCTAATACATTACAAAGCAGCATGTTTTACTACAGGATGTGACAAGCCGAATAGCATGGTGTGTGTGTGATATAACAATGATAAAGAGAGTTTGGGTTCAAATCCCACAAAGGTCTAATTTAAAAACACACTTTATATATAATTTTAAATAAATGCTTAGTGGCTCTGGCTCTGTACCAGACCAATAACTGGTAACACACACCTTTAATTGATATAAAAAAGGCCTACTAAAAATATATACGTAGACCTTAAAAACAATTTGTACGTGGATTACGGTCAGTTAGATTAACAAAACCTAACGTACTACATCTTGGTGGTCCGCGAGATGGTTAAAACCTTGTAGTTTGTCTACTGAGTCCTCATTTATTAGAAAATTAGCACACAAAATTTCCAAGTAAGTCTATAATTTGTTTTTATAACCTATATAATTAAAAACTCACTTATACAATTCATTATACATCATACCAAAGATGCACACTTCGAAGAACTTAAGGTTTTTCGGGCTCTTTATAACAAATTGCATTTACAATTGCAAGGTTCCGGAAACAGAAATTTAGAAAGCGTTGCAAATATATTTTACTTTGCAGATAAATTTCGCTCTTTTTTATATGACAATCTCGACTATAAATGGGTAAAGTTGACAAAAAAAAAAATTGTCTGCATTTGCCATATTGGAAGCACAGTTCGAATAGGGAGTTTACGATAGAGAACATAACTGTACTCTTTCTTTTCAATTATTTGAGATGTAAAAATCCTGCAATATTTTAGAAACTTAAAAAATATTTTCAAGTTGGTAATAAAGTTAACTTTAAAGGAATAAGTAACCAATCAAATTTTAGTTTTGAAATATAAATTAAAAAACTTCGATAAAAAAAATTAGTATTTTATTTGAAATTTTATTTGATTGAAATACGTTTCGAAATAAAATTTAGGTTAAAATTCAAAACATCTAAAATTGCAAAAAAATTTCGAAAAATGTTCCCTATTCGACAACTGGCAAAAAAAATTATTTGTAATGCAGGCCAATATAGTAAAGTGACCTTATTTACTACATATAAAACTTCAGATGCTACTGAAGATGTAAAGGTTGTAGGGGTCAAGGATATACACGGTGCAAAGGTACGAGTAGCTGATTTGGTATATGACATCGATTATGATTCGGAAATTATACGTCCAGGTGAGACTGAATATGTAGATCTCATAATACCAAAGGAAGTAATTTCTTCTGAAGGGACGACAGAACCAGTAAAACCTTTATCATTAGTGAATGAGGCTGGCGATGTAATATACGTTTCAAGTTCTTCCGCAGCTTCTGGAATTAAGAATAAAAACTTAGATAATGGCTGTGATCGAGGAAAAATAACTTCTTTTTTTAATAAAATTATTGGAACAAAGACTAAGATTGGTACAATACCTCGTACATTTAAAATCTATGAATATTGACTGACGACATTTTTTCGATACAGTAATAAAATTGACAGATAACTTATATTTAATAAACATTCTATTTTTAACATAGATCTAAACCAAAATTTTGTTTACGCTGCTTTCATATAAAGATACTTCAGAAGCTATAATAGCTAATAATATAATATATTATATTAGCTTCATTTTTTTTATATAATTCTCCATTACTGCATATAATGGCATATTGAGTTACTCAAAATGTAATGCTGTACAGTAAAGTTGGGAACTGTAACAGTTATCATTAAAAAATAAATATTAACTTATAACTCTTATCATTAGCATTTGAAAATAAAACTCAAAAAATAATAATTTAATTTTTTTAATTTAATAATTAATATTACAAATTAAAATGTGTTTTATATGTTCGTTTTTGAAAAAATCCGGCACTCCGTGTAATAATATTTAGAGTGACCGCCATTACCTATATTCTTCTTCTTCTTAGACTACCTACTTACTTTGAGTACCAGCAGTCGCATTTAATAACAATAACCTTATTACATTAAACTACAATCTGTATAGCATTCAAAAAGCGTTTTACGATATGTTGTTTACTATCGCTGTCTAAAGCTCTCTCGATCGCGCAGTGTGTATCAATTCGTGAATAGTTCGAGGTCCTGTCCAGGTGCAGATATTCCTTAACCATTAGAGTTGTTTCCGCCCAACACTTCTGCGACCTTCTACAGTGAATATGATTTCGATAACCAGTCGTGTTATTGGGTATCATAGTTCAATAGTTTTAATAAAAAATTTTGATGTGCGTAAGACGTAATAGATGTTTTAAGAACAAGTTTTGCGTAAATTTAATATAGAATTATTATCAAAAGTATAGACTAATTATACGTTATTTTGCAATTACAAGATTTAGTGTTAGAAGAAGAAGTGTAATGTGTAGAAAATACAGAAGAAATTGAAAAATTTAAGGAAGTCAGAATATATCTGAAATATGAGTATGAAAAGTGAATTTATAGGAAATAATCCTAATAGTATAGTGGGTCAACTATGTTACAAATAAAAAAGAACTACGTCGATTGAATTAACGCTTTCAATTTTTTTCAATGATCAAATGTCAAACGATAGTGTAACTCGGTAAAGTTTCAAGGAATGAAAAATATCTACTGATGCTGTAACATAAGGTCATGTAAAAATAATAAATAGTAAATTCTCACGACGTAAACATTGACTTACGAGAACACTGGATTAAATAAACACTCTGCTTAAATTTACAAATCTCAAAAAAGAATCAATGTTTAGAATGAGCTTAAACTTTTGTAATAGTTTATATATCATGATATGTGTATTTCTCTTGTGGTTACATACATTATAAATAAAAAAATCAAGAAGACAGAACATAAAAATATCTACAAGTAAAACAACTACGTAATGGGAAGATATTTTATTTGTGATTTAATTATGTTAGTAAATGATATTGAGGATTTTTTATTGTTTTTTATTCTGTGTGCTAAGTTGTTGTTTTTTATAATAAAAATTAAACCCAGTTTTAAAGGTTTCAGAATTTGCTATGAATAAAAAAACACATTAATAATATTATCGAAATAATTTTCGCTGGCGTTAAAATAAGGGTATATATTCTTAATTATAGCATTGACCGCCGGAAAATTTTCTTATTTAAAATTTCTATATTTAAATTTCCATAAATAAAAATCTATTTTGTTTAATAGCAAATTATAGCTATCACTTAATTTTTTGAATACTTTCGAATAAGAAAATTTATTTCTACAATACAACAAACAGCAAAACTATAACATAAAATATATAAAACATGCTCAAGCTCATGCTCATCACCTTCACTTTTAAGCTATTTACATCGCATATTATTTAATATAAAATCTGCACAAAGAAGATAAAAAAATTTTTGAAGCATGCATAAAAATAATAACGCAGGTCTAACAACCATTTTCAATGAATTATACCAACAAAACGACGATTATGCTCTCGCACACCTGATAAAGTAGCGGCAAATTAAATTAAATTAAATGTTTATAAAGCTACTGTACGGCACCCCCTCTGCTTTATATCATCAGCTACCAAAATTATTTATATATCGTTGAAGTTTTTATGTTAAAGTTATAATGCAGTTTCACATAAAAAAGCATCACAAACACAAACATTACTAATAATGTTTTTTTGTTTTTGTTTTT